TTCGATTTCGCCCATACCCCCCCATCCAAAAAGTTCATCTTTTTCGTTTCTTTTTGTTTGGGGGGGTGGGGCCGGGGGTGCGCCGCCACGTGGCGTCTCCCGATTTCCCAAAGTTGCTCCCGCGCGGCCGCCACGTGGCGTCAAAGTCGCGCGTCCACACGGACGCGTCCGCGGGGTCTGCGGACTGGCCGTGTTCGCGGATTCGTCCGTGGATGGCCACCGCCGAGGGTGTTTCATAGCCTGGCTCCACTACATGTATCTGGACAGACTGGCACGCGAGATACTTCCGGACTGAGGACACTGACGGCCCAGCGTATGTAAAAAAAAAAAAAACAGAAAACGCTCTGGTTGCACGAGCTGAAACCTGCACCCATAACTTTTCTGCCGTCGAGCTATACCCTGGAAAAACTACAAGTTTTGGCAAGGATCCACTCCTATCACGTCTCGTTCAGGCTGCAGGATTCTGATGGCCGTTGGCATAGTCCAGAGTGCCCTCTGCTACTGAATTGAAGTTCTTGGGCCACGGGGGGTCGTATAAGTGACCTTGCTTACTCAACCCCTCCCCCTGAAAGTGACACCTCCGTGAATATCCCAATAATATCCCCACCTCCGCCTGGGGCACCCCCCCAAAAAAAATGGACCTTGAAAATTTTATTACGGATTTCGACAGCTCTTGAAGAGCGCAGTCAGAATCCGCCAAAAAAAAAAAAAAAAAAAAAAAAGAGAATTAGGCTTTATTTTTTAAACCAGTTTCCCGGTTCAACCCCCCTGGGCTGGTCTGGCTCCAGTTCGACCGGGCAAGCTGAACCGGCCGGTTGCTGGTCCAGCCCTGGGGTGGATGGATTTTGAGTTTCCTGTTGGGCCTTTTGGCTACGGTCAAGTGTCGTACCGGTTCTGGTCAGTTTAATATCTGATCCGTGGTCCAGTGGCCCTCATTGAAAAATAAAAATAAAAGCGCTTGCTGTTGTGATTATCATTGGGGGGCTGTGCAGGTTTACTTGGCAAAGTTGAAATCATAAAGGGTCGCACAACAGTGCGAGGGGCAGAGGTTTCAGTCACATTTTTTGGAAGGGTTGCAGTCCAGGTGTTGTTGTTTTTTCTCTTGGTAATCGCTGACGTCTACTTTTCTAAAATTGTTTACGTTGGCTTGTTTTGCCAGCTAAAGCCATGGAGCTGTTCCTTCAAGACCTGTGCAACAGAACGTACCAGATTACTGCAGCCAGAGGAGCAAAGACCATTGGGATTAGCCATTTGTGAGCCACCACCTTCCGCCCTCTGGTTTCTCCTCCTGCTGCTTCTGCTCCAACCACCTAGCCTTTCCTCTCTTCCTTCATCCCAGTCCTCGCCTTCCTCATCCGTCTCTTCTTGCTGCAGCTGTTCTCCGAACTCCATATTCGTATCGGTCTTCTTCTGCCCCCTGTTGTCCCCTTGCTCATCACCATACTCTTTTCTGTTCTGTCTGTGCTCCTTGACATCCTCCTCCTCTTTTGATTTGTTCTGCAATCTTTTTTGTATTGCTCCAAATGTCACAAATACTAAGTGAGCATGAAAGGCATAAAGAACAGGGGTCTGAAACCTATGTTTACTATGTGCGTTGTCAATAATTTATTTCTTGTATGTACGCTAAGTTGTAAATGGTACAATGGATAGAGCATTTTCCGTGCGCATGGTAATTAGCATACAGGTATTGCGTTTTGTATATAGTATGAATGCAGATGTACTACACACACACGATACGTAAATTACTGAAATAGTCAATTGAGATGGTGATAGAGACACACGGTTTACTAGTCAGCATTGGCAGGAGCTATGGCTCAAAGTTGTTGATGTCATGTGGCCGTCATCCAGAGACTAACGGTCAGACTGAGCAAATGAAGTTTTCACCTTTACGGTAGCAGGTGCAGTTCCCAGGGCTTGATCCCTAGACCTCGCCGTCATCCATGTACAGTATTAGTTGACCTGTGTGAGCTTGAACCGGCGACCTGTGTCTTGAAAGTCGCCTGTTTGTTTACTGTAGGTAGTGTGGTCGTCGGGTCTTGAACCGTAGGTCTGTAGATTAGAGGTCTTAGCAGTGGTAGGAGTCGTAGCTGGTACAGTGTTGAAAGGTCAAGTCGTAGCTGCTACATTACCGAATGGTCAAGTCCACGGTCTTCCGGAAGATCTGGAAATGGCCCTTCGTGAGTCTCGGATGCAGTCCGTTGGCAAGTGGGCAAGTGGGCAGACTAACCCAGCCCAGTCAGCGGTACCCAGTCCCGGTCGCACTTTGTCAAGTCAGCAAATACCATGTGGGACTGTGTGCACCCCGGGCCCAGGGTCCAAGGGCAGACATTTGACAATCCAAAGTATAAATAAAGAGGCAGCGTCAAGTCATGTATTCATTCTGCCTGTGAGCTGTGTGGAAGTGCTGTCGGAACGTCTTGTGTACGAAGATCTGCAGGTGCCTGAAGGAGAAGTGGGCTAAGAGCAGGAAGACGCGGCCATAGCCACTTGAGTTAGTGTTAGAAGGTCGACGACAGCCATAGCTGCCAGTTAATGTAGTTAGTGTGTGTGTGTGTGTGTGTGTGTGTGCATGAGTGTGTGTGTTTATGTGTGCGGGACATCCAGGGAGATCCAGGGTGTGTGTGCAAACAAGTTGCTGAGAGTGCAGTGATCGGCCATAGCCGATGGAGACAAGTTTGAATCTGAACCGTGTTCTTGGCTTCTTTATCTCTGAGCTTTGTGTGGGCACAAGTTGCCAGCCTGATCGTCATCTGTTTGTATGCTTGCTGAGTATTCGAAGAAGAGGAGTCTGATTGCAAAGGGGAATGCAGAAAAAAAAAAAAAAAAGATGAAGGGGAATGCAGAGGTAGACCAGGATGCTGGAAGTTGTGTATGTCTGATCACCCATTTCGGACTGGGGTCTCCATGCATACGGGGGACTTCCTGGATCTATTTCTATGGTGTATGGGTAACATATAAACCTTGCAGGGCAATGGGACATTGGGAATCAAGCAATTAATGTACAAGAAGTCTAGAAGTGTGAAATTCGACGCTCGTGAAGTATAATACACCAAAACAAAAAAAAAGAAACAAGTTCTATTCTGCAGCGGCAGGGGTTGAGAAGGTGGCGGGAGACGGTCCACGTGTGGGAACGTTAGAGGAGGTGGTGGGAGGTGGTCTCTCCCTTTCTTTTAGAACCAATGATGGTGGGAGAAGGTAGGAGGAGGTGCACAGGGGATGGAGGTTAGGGGGTGGGCAGGGGAGGCTGGTTGAGTGAGGGGTAGCTGACGAGCTTGCGAGGTTGGGGGGAGGCGGTGGGAGGCAGTTGTGGCAGGGAGGCGTGTTCACGTGTTGGGAATTGGCGGGAAGTTTTGGGGAGGTGGGGGGTGGTGATCTCTCTTTTCTTCTCTCCATCTCTTGCAGTGCAGCAGAAGGCTGGGGAGGCAAAGGGAAATGGTGGGAGGGCGCCATAGGTGGTGGGAGGCAGCTCACACGAGGTGTTGGTTGGAGGAGGCAGCAGGAGGTGGTGTGCAGCTGGAGAAGGTTGGGGGAGGTGGCAGGAAGCGACATGCGGGTGGGGGAGGTTGGGGGAGGGGGCAGGAGGCGGCACTCATGTGGGAAGGCAGTGGGAGATGGCGCACAGGTAGGGGATGCTGTGGGAGGTGGGGAGGCTGGGGAGGTGGTGGGAGGTAGCGGGATGCCGGGCTCTGTTCTCCTCTCTCTCTCTCTCTCTCTAGCTGACATTCTTCTGGGGCGGTGGAGCGCTGGGAAAGCAGTGGCAGTTGGCCGAGACTATGGTGTCGTTTGACGAGGCGCTCTCGCTCTGGCTTCACAAAATCGCCTACTCGATTGAGTCGATTCACAAGCATTGCTTTAATAGCTGCTTTATTTGCTTGAAGTCGTGTAAACCAAAAATTAATTAACAAATATGATGCAAGACCTACTCCTTCCCAGCAGTACTCCTATAGAACAACGAAATGAAAGGACTCCTCATCCGGTAAGGAACACCAGTGCGGGCCTAAATACACAGGCCAGTCTGGAACAGAACAAACAGAAGAGCAGATAAACAAAACAAAAGTTTTTTTGTTTGCGGGAGAATCTGCAACACATCATCTAGTCAGAGTGCACAACTTATGTGGGATGGATATGGTGAATATCCTTTTTATTCTTGTCCTGCCCCCCTGACTCCTGAAAACTTGGGGCACTTTTTAAACTATGTGCATCTTATGTCCTCATTTGGGGGCTTCGTTATCTATGTTATTTCTTTTTTTTTTTTTTCTTTTTTTTTTTTTCAAGGGCGATGGCCTTGAGGTATTATCATCGGACTAACCAGCCCATGTAAATTCGACCTTGTGTCTAATCTGACACCAGGTGGCCTTTTCAGCCTACGGTGATGGATGTCTGGATGGGTAATTAGTAATTAGTAATTAGTCATTACCCATGCACTTTATTTTGGGTGAGACAGCAGGAAGTAAGATGGAGTTCGATGTGCTTCTATGTTTTTTTCATGTCGTTTTTTTTTTTTGTCCGTGCAGGAAAGCGTGTGTAATGTCCAACGGTGTCTATGACTTTCTTCGTGATATTGTATCACAAGCTCCTGATGCGGGAGCAGAAGCGAGCATGGACGACAAGGGTTTTGCTGCTGTTCGAAGGTAGTGTCGAGCTTTACTTATGACTGCTGCCACCACTGTTGCTTGGGCTTGTACCTCTGTTGTGGCCTCAGTCAAAGAAGCTTTCCTGTTTGTAAATGATCTTGATGAAAATGTTCTTCACAACAAAAAAGTTACTGTTTGTAAATCATGTTGATGAAAATGTTCTTTGTCGGAAAGGTCAGCGGTAATCCTTTTCTCTTTCTCGGAAAGCATTTTGAGGTACACTGTTTTGCTTGTGTTTTGTTACGATCCTGGTCATTCCCAAAGTGCAAATTCACAATGAAAGACAATGCCACCCAATTGCGAAAGAAATGAAAGCACTTGCAAAGAGATAGAGATCAGAGGAGAGAGAAAGAAGAAGAAGAAGAAGAAGAAGAAGAAGAAGAAGATGTACACCAGCAAGACCAATGACAATTCCCCCCTTCTCTCCACCTTCCTCCTCCTCCTTCACTTCAACAATCTTATTCTTCTCCCAGTAATAATAATAACAATGAGTGGATGAACCAGAATCAATATCCGAAGTTCCCTCTTACTGCTGACACAACAACAACAACAACAACAACAAGTCCACCATAGCTATGGGTTCCCTCCTTCTTCCTCCTCTCACATGCCTGGGCTATGGCGGACTACTGAGGGCCCTGCCCTCCTGTCTAAAGGACAACCCAAAGCAGCTATGGCACTGCACTCCTGTCCACAGGACAGCCCAAAGCAGCTATGCCGCTGCTGACTGATCCGCCATGCCTGACTCTGCCTCGAGCTTCCTTGGTGCGGCACTACCCCATCTGGGGCCTTCCAGATGCAGCGCCCAACAAGGTGATGAAGATGGTGTCCACCATAGCCAGGTAGGTGCCTCGCCACTCTCCTCCTTCGCCCCCCTTCTTCCTCCTCCTCAGGCTGGGCTGCTCGCCATAGCAAGGCTCAGCGCCCAGCTGCCCTTCACCTCCAGGCAGCGCTGACCAGTCCAGCGCTGTGCTCCAGCAGCATATCGCCAATCCTTGCATACCGCAAATGAGGAGGAGCTACTTGCTCCTCCGGAAGATATAGCGGCCTACTGTCCTCTTGGGCGGTGACTTCCTAGGCCGAGCAGCCTCCCAGCAACCGGTACCTCCCTTTCGGAGGGGAACATCATTGCAGTCTCTGCTATCGTCCGGACAGGCCCTAGACCCGGGCTACTTGGACTGGTACCGGCCTACCTCTAGCCTACAGCTACTGGCCTCTAAAAATGCCAACTTTTTGTCTTCTTCTGCTCGGCCTCCAGTACCCGACACTTCTACCACTACTTGAGTGGTACCGGCCTACCTGCTACTTAAGTGTTTTTCCCGCTGCGACCCTCAAAGTCATGGCCACAGGTAAGTACTGGCCCTGCGGTGCCTTTCAACCAACAAGTACCCTTGCGGGTCACACACACACTCAGCCCACAAGCACTCAGACAGGCACGCAAACCAGCAGGCACGCACACACACACAGACATGGAAATCACAGCAGAACGCGGGAATCTCAGCAAGGCATTCATTCCAGCGGCAAATCCCAGAAATCAGCAGTGTTCTCAGTCTGTGTTTTTGGCGGGTCATTACAGTTTCCTAGTTAAGTGGAGATGCCCAGGCTTAGAGCCTGTCTCCACTACGCAACACTCTCACAATCATCCCGGTGCGCTCAAAATGTTGGGCTCAGACAAATGCTCCTGGTCCAGATAGGCACCCAAATCCCTGTACAATGTAGAGTAGCGGAGCGAGGACCGTTTATTGGCACACTCGGCGGCATGCTGTGATTAGTGTCTATTTTCATTGCGTATCGGACGATGACAAAAGCAGCAGTACTTCTGATATATACATGGCTGTGGGGTGAACGGTATAGAACCACAACACTGAAAGCTATAGAATTGGAGGACTAAGATCCTGTCCTTATTGCAAAGGGAAGCTCATCCCCCGACCCGCATTCTATTTCTTGCAAATGAATCCCCTCCTGCCGTATCTCTTTGTTTTCTTTGGGAAAGAGATCCGTGTGAGACTATTCAGCACCATCCACTGTGATGAGTACTTCTGAAAGCTTGGTGGAAGTGGTAGTATGGTCGTGGGACAGAGGTTGGAAGTCTGCATTCAAGAAACTGAAATAAGCTTCAATTCAGTTGAATTGTTCTGAAATTTGCAAACCGTTCTCTACTGCTTATCGTCACACGCTGTTTGAAGCAGTATCTGTTCGGAGTGCAAGGAACACGGGTCAATCAAGGTCAATCAATCCAAGAGAGAGGGAGGAGGAGAGAGAGAGGGGGGGGGGGGGGGGGGGGGGGGGGGGGGGGGGCCCCCCCCTCCCCAGAGAGAGAGTCCCCGCTCTCTCCCGCTCTCTCCCCCTCCGTTTCTCCCTCTTGCTCTACCGCCCCCCCTTTCCCTCTCTTTCTCCCTCCCTCCCTCCCTCTGTCCCTCCGTCCCTCCCTCCCCCCCTCTCCCTCTTGCTCTACCGCACTCCCTTTCCCTCTCTTCGTCCCTCCCTCCCTCTGTCCCTTTCCCCTCTTTCCCTCTCTTCCTCTTTTGCTCTACTGCCCTCCCTTTCCCTCTCTTCCTCCCCTTTTCCCTCCCTTTCTCCCTATCCCTCTCTCTCTTCCCTTGTCTCCCTCTCCTCTCGTCCTCTCTCCCTCCTCCTCTCTCCCATGCACTCTCCCTCGCCCTTACCCTCACCCTCACACACCCGTCATGCGCCCCAATGCATAGCCACCATTGTAACTGCATTTTCGTCTTTGTCATTTCAGCTATCGATGTATGGGCCATCCTGGGTAATTCCTTGAAGTTCTTTGTCGTGTTTTCTTGTTGTGCAGACCCTGTGAGTTACAAAGTGAAGATAGTGGCAGTGAGAAGGAAGATGTGAAACGGCTTAGGACTGTAAGTTGTCTCGAAAACGCCTTCGCAACATCAGTTGACGTTTGAAAAAGTAAACAAAAGCGAACTACTATGACCAAAGCAAATGGACTTCAGCATCTGTCTAGGATTGCCAATAGCTGCTGATATTCAAAGACCAATTGATATCCAAGGAGCAGATTGCAAAGTAGTCGATACTGAGATTCACTGCCGATGTAAATGTCCATGGGGTGCATGTAGAGTTAAATCCATCTGAGTGTTCACCAGGTCCTTACACTCTCTCTCCGTCTGTATCTGTATGTCTGTCACTGTCTCTCTCAATGACTGTGAATGACTGCGTGCCACTCTCTCCCCTTGGTTCACTACTGTTCGAACTCTCGCTCGCCCTCATGCTCTCTTTGTTCTTACTCGACAGGATATGCAGTTGGAGCCCAGCTGGCAAGTGCTCAGAAAGAGTGTGAGTGAGCTTGAGGGAAGTGAACGAGTAGTGAATGGTAATGTAGGGAGTGACAGGCAACCATGGGGGTAGTGGGGGTAGTGTGGAGAGAGAGAGCTGTCTCTTATACACATCTAGATGTGTATAAGAGACAGCCATATCACCATCACCATCACCATCACCATCACCATCACCATCACCATCACCATCACCCTTACCATTACTGTCCTTATCATCATCCCCACCACCA